TGTTCCTCTGTCCCCCAGAACATCGAGGGCCGCCAGAGCTCTTGGCTGGGCTGGATAAACGTTTGTGGACAAAGGAAATGACCGAGTAAATCATGCCTCTTCTACGTTTCACATTTGGCCGAGCAAATATCATTCCCATATCCATTTAGCGCCGGAGAAAACGAAAGCTCAGAAGGTAGAAGTGACTTGAGAGAGAGGAGTGAAGAGAGTTCTGGGCCTGAGGGAAGAGCCAAACCTGGTGACCTTGGGAAGCGCCCCCTGCAGGACAGGAGCAGCGGGCAGGAGCCACGAAACAGCAGCTCTGTACCATGGGCCTGATCAGAAAGACATATATTTTTTAACTTAATCTCCCAGGGTCCTAAGGATCCAATGGGATCAGGAATACAACAGCACTTTATAAGCTCATAAGTGATAGGCATCATTAACAAAGATTATTTTTCTGGGCTGACTGACCAGTTCTGGGATTAAGACCCTGAGTGTGACAGTATTAAAACCCTTCCTTAATTTTCAGACAAATCTCCAAAAAATTTTCATAGCTACTGAGGCACACAGCCAGGGTTCAAATTCAGTTTGATGTGGCTTCACAGGTAAGCCGGCTGCATGTGGCCACCAGTTTCTCCTGGATCCCATTGGAGCCTTGATTCTTGCAGCCAAATCTTTTCGGGAGGAAATAATAAGGAAGTGAGTTGTTGATAACTCATGATCCTTGGGTATAGCACTAATATAAACATAAAGAAAGTAAGTCCGTTTATTTCCAGGTGTTTCTAGAAAACCAGGAGACAAGGCTGAACTGTGATTTGAGAAGGAAGAGGGCAGAAAAACTAACACAGACGAAGCTGGGGCCATGTTGCAGATCCCAGGCTGGCCCTTTACTCATGATCTATCCCTTGCCTTTCTGATGACAAGTATTACACAAACACACACACACACCCGACAAGGCTCAATAACCATCTCTGGTTGCACAGCAGATAAGGAGAAGCATTAGTATTAAAAACCAGGTCTGTCTGGCTCCAAAGTTAGTGCTCTTTCTGCTACTCTGAGCTGCCAGATGGCACCGATTGAAAACCCCTAGGCAGTGCCCTGAGAAATGTCTGCGTCTGCTCTGCAGGGGACCCGCTCCTCTGCCACAGTCTTCTACTGGGTGGCCTAATGCCGGGATTGTAAGTAACAAGAACTGTGTCAACTACTCTCCCTTTTGAAAACGGGTCACAAACCTGAACATGCATTCTCTTCTCCCAGTCCTCCATCAGTGGCCTGCGCACCATTTGATAAGCTGTACTTGCAGTGACACAATTTGATACAAATGAAATGAAGGAAACAACGTTATTTCTCACTATGTTCATCCCTTTCTCATTTAAACTGTGAACACTCTTATTTCTCATACATGGCCTGTCTAGAAACTCATTTTATGGGGAACTATGCCCCTGTGTGACTTGTGTTTACAACAGACTTGGTTTCAACAGGCTGGGTCAAGAGCCGGAGTGGCAGGCTTGTGAGAAATTCTAAAGAGCCTCATCACATTCTTTAAGTCCCTCTTTCTTACAACAGATGACCCACGTGGGGGGGTATTCTTTTTTAGAAATGTTGCCAAAGGGGAGAAAACACTCTTCTAGGCTGTAATAGCATGTAATAATTTGAGAAAAGTACTTACAATATAATGTCCTAAACAAAGCAGGATATAAAATTGTATGAATAGTATGATCTCAAGGCCCTCCGAGAGGTCAGTCCAGAAGGGAGTAACTAGATTAGTAATAGTTACTTTTGATTGATGGGATTATGCATGCTCACTTTGTCTTTCCTAATTTTTGATAAGTATATATAGTTTTTTAAAAAGTCAAGTGAAATCCCTAAAAAAAGAAAGATACATATTTTCCCCAAAAGAGGTCTAAATATTACTTAGTGTTTTCTTACTAGTGAATGCATTATATAAACTTTGACTAATATGAGGCACAAAGACTTTCCAGAAAAGGAAGTTATATATCAAAATCCTAAGAAAAATATCAACAAATAAAATCCACATACAGAAAACAATACACCATGAATGAATAGAATTTACCTCAGAAATGAAAATTAGAAAATCTATCCATGAAATCCACAAGATTAATTAAAATAGTCAGAATATGCATTGAAATAAATATAAAAAGCATATAATTAAATTCAACACATAAATTCAAAATTTTTAAAAATCCTTCTTGAAAAATGATAAATGAAGGAGAACTAATAAAGAATCTTTAGTAAAAACTTAAACATCACACTTACAGTAATTTAGAAGCATTTCCAGTAATTTAAGGACAAGATAAGGATATGTATATGACTAAATATTGTATTGACAGACCTAGCCAATGCAATAAGATAAGAAAAAGAAGTACTTAAGGATTGCAGAGGAAGACAGAAACTTACTTACAAGGTTATATGTTGTCTCCACAGAAAGTCAAAGAGGAGGTAGAGAAAGTATTAGTAAGAGCCAAGCAATACAACTATATTCAAGATTCAAGATCAATATATAAACTGTTTATTGTTTTTTTAAGTTCTACTTGTTTTGCCCAGTTACCAACATTTGTTTAATGGAATACTGACTATTCCATAGCCAAAACAGAAGAATATAAATTAATCCTGTTACCAGCACATTCTCTCTCTTGCTTTAATGTATAAGTGTGTCTTCATGGTGTCTTGAGCCATTCACATATATCAAGAATAAATATGGTTTATCATTATGGCATAATTACAAACAATTTTTAAACTCTTGCTCTGGGACAAGTCAGCTAGCTATATACTTGTTAAGATCCCCTTGGCTCTAGAATGAGATAACAAGATAAGACAAGGATGGTGATGATGGAGGTAAAAAAGACAAAGAGGAGGAGAGGGGTAGAAATGGAGTAAGAGGAATTGAGGAAAGAAGTGAGAGGAGAGAAATGAAAGATGATAAAGGAAGGGGATGAGAAGTGTCAAGGAGAAAATGAGGAGGAGGGAATGAGGGGGAGGAAAAAGAGATATTAAGGTAGACTTCATTGAGCCTTTAATATGTACGCTCAGTACTATACTGAGTGTTTTATTTGCCTTATTTCAATTAATCTTCATAGTGAGCCTGTAATATTATATTTTCACTTTATAGGGGAGAACACTGAGGCTCAGAATGTAAAGTAATATTCTAAAGTCAGATAGTTAGAAAATGGCATAGCCAGAATTTGATCCAGATCGACCTGCCCAGACTGCATGGGATTAGTCATCAGAGGATACTCCTTGCATATGTATTGTGCTGGTTTTAGTGCTTATTAGGATGTGAAGATGAGAAGGATATAAAAAGGTCACCTTCACACTCCCATTCCAAATCCTCAACTAAGCCAATGTTCTGAAAACCTGAATCGTCCCTTTAGAATACGCCTGGTTTTGCATGTTAAAATTCAGAAGGAAAGATGCGCACCAAGATTAAAAATGTTAATGCATTAAGTATTCAAGAGCACAAGTTCAGTGGAAAGGTTAAATTTGAAGCAAAAATATAACTTGTCCGTTTCCACTGGAAAAGGATTTAAATTCTCATACACACCAGGTTCTGCAATTTCTTCCCATGTAGCAGTTCTCCCCAGACTGGTTCTCTCACCGATTTGCTTTTCTTCTATTATGCTTAGACCACAAGGCATCACAAACACGGTTTACATTCAGTTTTAGGGAATCAAATAAATTGCTTCCAAAATATTTGTGTTTCAAATAAGCATCAAAAGCAAAACGTATCGTCCTCCCTGGGGTTTTGGCTGTTCGAAAGCTGCATATGTATTACATTTATGTCCCTTGTTTCCAGAGAGTGTCAGACAAATGCCATCACAAACATGACAGGGCAGGCACAGAGAAGTCTCAAACAAATCACTGCCTCTACAAAGCAACCGAGGGCATCTGGGTTTGCAAGCCCATATTGACAGATTCCAAGACCTGAAAGAGAGCTCTATTAATCCTCCTTCATGCAGCTGAGAAGACAAGGGCAGAAAGGAGCTCAAACCACGAGGAGAAACACACACACACACACACACCCCGAGCAAGAAGTTGCTTGCATCCAATTACCGCAGGCAGACACACTTACTGAAAGACAGGGTCCTAAAGCGATAGGACAAAATCCTTCAGCAAACATGAAAAGGGATGGAGCTATTTTATGATCACATGGTGCCCACCAGTCTTCATTACCAGCCGTCTGGGCACCTTCCCTGGGTCAGCCCTCAGAGCTGGGAGCGAAAGGGTGAACAAGAGGCTCAGGTCTGAAGGGGTGTATAGCAGAATTGACAAACAAACACACAAGACATTTTTCATACATTGAAATGCTAACAAAGTGCTACTGAAGCAAAACAAAGGAGCAACTAACCCAATTTAGGGAGTAAGGAAAGCAAACCCCCACCCTGAGCGGTCCCAGTAAGCACAAACCTGAACAACAAGGAGGAGTCCATCTAGAAAAAAGGCTGAGAGCTACAAAAGGATTTCAGGCTGGGTTAGTAAGAATCCAGTGAGTCTCCAAGTCTGGTCTCTGAACCAACGGCAACAGCATCATGTGGGAACTTGCTATAAATGCAGTTGCAGGCCTCATCTTAGACCTAGGGATGATGAGGATGAGACTCACAATCTGCTTTCAAAGCCTTCCAGGTGATTCTGGTGCAGCTGGGGCCTGAGAACCACAGGTGTATGCAAAGGTGAACTACAGGAGACAGAATGCCTGCAGGGGAAGGAGGGTTACAAAGCGGGGAGGAGGAGCTGAGGCAGGGATGTTGCTGGAGGGATGAGTAGAAGGTTTATCAGGGAGCACATTATATGTTATGAAAAGGATTTTGGATTTTACCCAGAAAATAAAGGAGAACCATTAAAATATACTACGAGTACAAAAACACCCAATAACGATGGTGACTTTAAAAATATATGTATATATATGCAATCACCAAGACAGATGATATACCATTCCAGAGATAAAAACCCATCCCTGTGCAGACGAACAGCCATGACGAAAGGAGCACCTTCAGCCCTACCTTTCTTTCTGGAGTCTTTCTTGGCGCTGGTTTTCACAGCTACTTGAAGTTCTGTCTCAGTTGACATCCTACTAAATCCTTAGTCCACTGCACACAGATCCAGGGCCGCGGCCAGGCTCATGGAGGACTCCTCCCGAGAGAACGGCCCCTCCCTTCAGACGTGACGCCCCGCGCTGCGCATCTCACTCGCGCCTCTCGAGGGCTGCAGACCAAGGAAAGAGAACAACAGGGTGATTATTCAGAGTGGTCACCCCTTTGACGTGAAACAGAAATGGGGGGGGGTTAACTGTCAAACATACAAAAACAAGAAAACCCTGGTGTCCACCTACAGACTGCCCCCACGGCTCCCTCAAGCCGTCGCAGGTTCGCAGCAGAGGCTGAGAGAGGCCCAGCAGCTGCACGGTCTCTCAGACCGGGAACTCAGATCAGACCTTCAACGCGATCAATAGAGTTTCAAGAAGAGCAAAACCCAACTCCTTGTTTTCCATGTCTCTTTCTTTCAAGCAGTAGGTCCCACCCAGAAAAGACAGCGAAGGCCTGTCCCCCGAGCAGCCCGTGGAGGCCTTCCCACAGTGGAGCACCCACCCGCCAGCCACGCTCCATCGGAGCCTCGGCAGCTAACGCCGATCACAGGGAAGTGACCTGGGCCTGCCCCTCACTGGCAGGCCGCAGAGGGGACGTGGAGTTGACAGACGATTGGGCTCCAAGGGTAAGGTGACAAATGGGACTGAGAAACTTTCAGCAAGCCCATTTTTCTATCAGCTTCCCCTCCAGCCATGAGAGCAGACGAGCATTCAATGTGGGGAGAAAAAAGCAAGGCAAAGAAGCAGGCGGGCGCACATGGCATTCGCTGTCTTCAATGACTGTGCGGGGCACACTGCTGGGCACTACTGGTTCAGACGCTGCACCGGGAAGGGAGAATAATGAGGGCACAGCACCTCGATTACAGTCGTGTTTACTAGGCACGTACTACACACTGGGCCCTCCCCTACGACTTCACGTGCATCACCTCACTGCATTTCATTACACCAAATGAATGTCTTCCCTGTGTCAACTCAGCAATCTTTCCCAGTGACTACCTATCTGATAGTTACATCTGAGAGTTTGGTTGAAAATAAACGTTTCATTAGTGACCCACTTTTAAATAATATGAAGATAATATTATACCACAGCTGAAGCTGCCAAGGTTCTAATCAAGTTTGGCCCATCAGGCTACTGGGAATGGATCTTGAGACCGTGCAGCCAATTCTTACCTCATCCCACAGACCTGGAACTGTTTAACCTAAAAAGGGTGACCTTCAACGCCAGCTTCAGCTCCAAAAGGATAATGACTCAAACCTCTTAATCACGCCAACTAAAGATGGCTTACCTAGAAGGTCTAGCATAAAAGCCACATAAAATTATAATCAGGCTTACATTTGGGGAAATTTCCACCTTATCTAAAGACACCTGGTTTGTTTGTTTTTAACAAGCTTTTCTTTTTTTTTTTTTTCAAAGGACACTAGCCCCGAATAAAAGGTACCTGAGAGGATCTAAGGCAACAGCTAAGGGAAACGAAAAATGGTCCTCCTAGGATGGGGTCCGTACAGTGATTCACAGAAAGATGAGAACTCTGCTGCCGCCGCTGTGCCCTCACACCGCCACTGGACCAACCCCTCCCTCCCCCGGAAGACAACATTCCATGAGTGACGACACAGTCACCAAACTCAGTCATATATGGACATGGTTAATTTTGTTTCTAATACTTATCATTCTGTTACAACAAATATCTACTGAGAACCTCCAAATCCTGGCTCCTTCGCGTCAACAAAAGTGTACTGCACAGCCGAGCTGGCCAAGAGGACAGAGGCAAAGCCTGATCCCGTCCTCAGAGCTCAGTCTGCAGGTGTCAGTCACGCGAAGGGCTGCAATACACATGGCCGGAACGAAAACCGACAGGTGCCCAGCACACGGGGGCGCAAAGGCTCAACTCTTCACCTTTGCTGGGAAGACTCAGTGACACTCACAGAGGAGAAGCCCTGTGCTGTGAGATCCTGAAGAACAGTGGTCTGTCCACGGGTGACACGGGAGAGGGCTGATGGGCGCCCAGTAACTGCACGTGTAATAAAGGAATGCATGGCTGTTTCAGGCAGGACCACAATGTGCCAGGAGGCTTGAAATTAACACCCAAACTAATCAAAGGAAGCACATGCCTAGTAGGGAGGTGAAATACTTTGCCACCTTCCCAATTTTCCCTCCTGTTACCTTGCCATAGAATCTTTCTTTTCAAGTCGGCCTTGATATCCGGCTGACCCCCTCACGCTTCAGTTCAGAGAAGTGTCTCAGGCAGGAAGATTTTCTGACCCCTCTATTAAATGGAATATCTCCCTACTTAATATTTGGATCCGAGGTTTGGCCAGCTTCGTAGTTTGAGCCACCAACAAGCAATGTGATACTGTGGAAGTCACTCAACCCTTCTTTGCCTCAGTTTATCTATCTTAATAATGGGAATAACATCCATTTCATAAAGTTGTTGTGAAAACCTAAGTGTGGTCACATGTGTAACGTGTTTGAAAGACTGCCTGGCACGTGCCCTGGCAAGTGCTTGGCAAATATTTGGCACTAATAGTTTCCCATGTTAATTGCTCAAGGTCACATGGCTGGTATGTGACTGCAGGTCCATATTATTATTATCTCCCTTTTACAGAAGAGTACACTGAGGCCGGTGAAATCTGCTTTCCAAGGTCAGATTGCAGGAAATGATAGACTCTAAGATATTCCCATCATGCTGGCCTTGTACCTAATCCCAAAACACAGAAACAGGCTGAAATACATGGATTTTGCACAATTTCAAGAAGGGCAAAACCCAACTCTTTGTTTTCCATGTTTCTTATTTTGAAGTACTAAATGCCACCTAGAAAATATAGCAAAGGCATATTTCCTGAGCAGCCCGTGGAGACATTTCTCACTGTGGGGTACCCATCCATCAGCCAAGCTTGATCAGAGCCTTAAAAGTCAATGTGCAAACTGGACTGGATCCGAGCTCCTTCCATCTCTTCAGCTTTATAAGTCACAACACAGTACCTGTTCCTATTCTGTGGGTATCTCCAGCATCACTTGTTCAACAAAATGTGATTGTGTTCAAGTACTATAAGCATTACTCGTGATTTTCTCAAGTACATCCTTATATCAATAATGAAAGGAAACCAGCATCATTTTGAATAACAACTTAAATAAGGAAGCTGAGTGCAGAGAGAACAGACCATGGCCGGGGCCCCGGCACCCCCTTTTAATTTTCCAAAAGCCAGAGGTTGAGCAAATGCTGTGAAGTACCTCCAAATTATTTAGGAAATTTGTTTCTTTGTAATTAAGGAGATTAAAGTCCTCTAGGGCCAGAAACCATGTGACAACTCAAATCATTTTTCTCCAGCAAAGGCTGTGAAACCCTCTCAGTTAAATTCAGGCTCGCCTAGAATTTAAAATGCTTCAATAATGTTTCTTTGCCCCACACAATCTTCAGTAATTTAATATTCCTGAAGTGTGTCAGGCTTTTTATAATGAGCTCTTCAAATCTAAATGTGTATTATGTAATATTCTGCTACAGACATTCCGTCTAGTGAACGGCTGCTAAATGTAAAACTCCATGCCCAGTGATTGGGGGTGGGGAAAACGCCAAGCCGCAAGCAGAGAAAACAGACAGGACTCCAAAAAAGAACAGCAACAAAGCAGAAAGGTTTGAGCAGCTCCCACAGAACACACACACGCTAGAACACCTGCTCTTAAACAAATTTGTGTACTCTCCTCTCCAACCAGCCCTCTCCCCATATAATTCTACGGTAATAGCTACTGTGTATGAGGGCCCACTCTTGACCAAGTACTGTATATCAACATCTCATATATTACCTTAGTCAATCCTTCAACCACTTGAAGGTTAGATGTTACTATCTTCATTTGATAAATGAGGAAAGTGAGACAAAAGCCACTTTAGTAGCTTAGCCATGGTCATATGACTAATAAGTAGCACAGGGCAGAGTACAAGTTCCTCTTGTCCCCAACTTCAGCAAAACCCTCCTGCATGCCTATCAGTTGGTAGACAGATTAGACAAAAATGGGGCATATCCATACAATGGAATACTATTCAGCCATAAAAAGGAATGAAGCATGGACACACACCACAACATGGATGAACCCGGAAAACATCATGCTAAGTGAAAGAAGTCAAACACAAAAGATCACATGTTGTACAACTGCATTTATATGAAATATCCAAAATTGATAGATCCAGCGAGAGAAAGCAGATCAGTGGTTGCCGGGCGCTGGGGACGTGGGGACAGGAAGTCACTGCTCACTGGTTACAGTGCCTCCTTTGGGGGTGGTGAAATGTTCTGGGACTAGATAGAGCTGATGGCTGCACATCATGAACACACAAAATACCACTGAATCATACACATTGAAATGGTTATTTTTATGTTATGTAAACATCACCTGAACTTAAAAAACAAAAACTCCTTCCCATCTGGGCTCTACATCTTGATTTAAGTGTTATGTGTTATGCCAAGGATAGTATAGATTCCAGTCTAAAGGTACAACCTAGATTGAAAAACTAGACGAAGAGGAGGTAGTCTTCCCAGAACCACGACTTTGGGTTTGAGTAGTAGCAATTAAATAGATTATAAGGTACATGCCACTCCTTCCCTGTTTTGTGGCTTGTGGCATCTTAACCGGCTTCATCCAATCTATAAAACACCGAAAACAAACCATTTATCAATGTGGCACAAAGGTTTACAACAGTGTAGATGAGGAGCCTCAGTTTTTTTATCAGTAAAATGGGAAGATAGCCACCAAGTACACAAGGTTTGGAAGGTTGATGGGATTTGGGCACCTCAGAAGCCTCGCTCAATCTACAGCATGCTACCCTTTGTGTAAGGAAGGAGGAGCCATAAACCTGCTCACCTGTACAAAAAGAAACAAGAGGGTGCTACTTCCCAGGGTACAGCTTTCTGCACAAAACCACATCTGGAAGCATATTAATGGTCTACATACCTGAAAAAAATAATTTCAACTAATAAGGAGGGGAAGCAGGGGGAAAGCTAAAACTAGAAATGGACTGAAACAAATTAATCCAATTGTATTTCAAATGAACTTCATAAACACACTCCCAGAAGGAGTGGGAAAGAAAGAACGAATCCAGTTACAACTTATGAACACAGAACTTGACTATTT